TATTTTTATGGAAACTGATGATATGATAAAATCTGATGGGGATCTACTTCATATTTGTAAAACTACATTCAGTGAAATAGTAAGTAATTTTATTAAGATTATATTAATCGTCTATTAATAATTTTTTCGCCTTTCTTCTATAGGATGATGATCTATATTTAATGCAATTCCCAACAAACATGCCGGAATTTCTTCCTCCTCAAAAACCAAAAGTAGCTCGATTTGAAAATCAATCAGAACATCGACCTTCACAGCGTAATGCAACTTCACAAAACTCAAAAACATTACAAAACCCGTCAAATAATAAGACACAAAATAAATCAAAAACGTCGGATGAAGAAAATCAAGAAAAAACAGACGAGATCAAAATAGAGCCGATATCGGAAGGAAGAATAGGAACATTTTTGGTATATAAGAATGGGGACATAAAACTAAAAATCGGAGAAATTATATATGATGTAGGTTGTTGCTTTTTATATATTTAATTCTTTGCAACAATTTTATAATTAATATTTTCAATCATAGATTTTCCCAGCTTCGGATGTTGCGTTTCCTCAAACAGCTGTTGTGATTGACACTGACGAGGAAACAAAAGGTATCTATGAGATGGGAAACATAACCAAACAATGGCTCATTGCACCAAATATAGAAACTTTGTTTAGCGGTTCTGATGACGATGAAATTTCTGAATAAACTTCTTCCAACATATTAAATACAAAATTCATTAAGAGATGTAGCTAAACAATAATAATGGTGTCAATATTTTGTTAGCCTTATATAGCGATCCTCCGATATAGCGAAATTGATTATTGCGAAGTTTTGCCAAATCTCGATCGATATAATGAGTTACATAGGAAATACAACCTCTAGGCGTTGTTCTTAATGAGGTAACTTCTATTATAGAAGTGTACAGTTCGCACGGAAAGTAATGGCGGGGTTTTCTTAGAGATAAATAAATCTAGAATAATCATATATAAAAATTCGTTTTTAGAATGCTTATAAACAGGGCTTTTTGCATTTGACATGTCTTCTTTCTGCATTAATTCCAATTTGAATGCAATTTGGCATGATATCTTCTCAAAAAATGAATCTTATTTCTCTTTCACTAGCATAATGAAAAACCTTTTGCAACATGCTCAGCTTTTGTTATATCATTATCTTAACTCTTCTTTTCATGTTTCCAATTGAAAATAATTATTATTATGAATAAGATTGAAAGCTAAATTTTATTAAAATCATAGCAAAATATATATTATATGCTACATCAAAAAGATTTCATGAAAATTTTTAGAAAAAGAAACTTTATATATAGTAATGAGCAAAAAAATTTCATGTAATTTTTTTCATATATACAGATTTATTAAAAATT